GAGGGATGTAACATAGACTACGTCCTAACAAGTTGTCTTCATATGACACATAATTTGGTCCCTTATTTCTTACTTTATTATTCGAAAATTTCTGAGTAGCGCAGTCTCGGACTTGGCTGGAGTTGCTTTGAGCTCTCGATCTAGAAGAGAAAAGTGAAGATTGGTTTCAGTGTTTGTGACTCCATAGGTAATCACGGTTTAGTTCATTGTCCACTAAATTTCATTACTTACACGTTAGTAGGTTTCTTATTGAAGAGGAGGTATTGCTACTGCGGTACCATTACGAAGGAGTAGCCCAAAAATGAAACGTTTGTGTGTATGAGCTTCATTTTTGGGATGATACATGTATCATTCCAGTGAACGTATACTAAAATTGGATATACGCATATATATATATGTGATTGAATACAAACGTGTACATATATTTCACTGAACTAATAAATTATTTATCATTTAGTCATCTTTGGCCATCTTTTGAAGCTGATTCAGCACGCACATCATCTCTTTTTCATCCTCCTTGGGGAAGACAGCGCTTCTGACCAATTTCTTAAAGTGCTTTCATCCAGCTCTGTTCAATCGCTCATCTTTTCTAATCTGTCGCGAAGGCGAAAGTGATGGGAAAGAAATCAGGGTAGGTCATGAAATTTTTTATTGCAGACACAATCTGGAAAATAGATAGACAAGGTAAGCTGTTATAGTCTGGTAACGCCGGAACTGCTGAACCCAAATGAACTATGAGCTACACTCTGTTTGAAACAGTGAAAGTAATGTGTGAAGGATGTGAAGCTTTAAAGTATAAAATAGAAAAACAACTAATTTGCCGCCAGGACGCACTGGGTACAAATTGGAGCCTTCGACCGGAAGGTGAGGCATAGCTACTCTCAACTCGTGGGAGCCTACAAACAATATCGCTAACATGGAATGCCACACCGACTATCTAGGCCGTCTTGGTAACCTCTGTGCTTTCTCTACAAAGCATTTGCCTGCATTTTCTCCGTCGCGCACTCAAGCTCCCTCCTTCATCCAATACAGCGGCTCTTTTGATTTTTATGTATAGCATTAAACAAATTCTGATTAACAACAACGTGTTCTATGATTGGTTGAATTCATTTTGACTTTTTTGTAGGTGGAACACTCCAGTGTAAGCAGAAAGTTCTACTGTATTTAAACGTTTAAATATCCCTGGAAAAAATTGGTGGGGATTGATGGTTGCTTCCATTACAACAAAATTATGCGTAGCTGTTGTTTAACATGTAAGTGTTTATATCGAAAAAAGATTTAACGTTTAAGATGATTAGTGTACTTGAAATGCACCCGTGACAACTGGAAACGGTTAAAGCCTTGCGAAATACTCTCATTGGGAGAATCGTTGAGTTGGTAATCCATTCAGGAGACGAAAACGACATTGCACTGTTAGCAG